TTCCTTGACCATAAAAACCACTGAGTCCACCCCGACGTACGCCGATGTCATCAACTTGACTCTGAAAAACATGAAGACCCGAAAGGAAAAACTCAGCAAGCTGATCGCGTTTCACGTGAAGGAATGGAATTCTTTCGATAGTTACCTAAATGAACTGCAGGACAACTTCTTGAGGTACTGCAGGGGCTTCTGGGCGGCTCATGGGTCCAGCCCTTGTCCCTTGCAGCACATCATGTTTTCCCGGGGGCAGGGCTGGCTTTCTCCCCGGCGCCAGTCTCCTCAGCTCTCCTGGGGTGGAATGGGAACTCCTCAGCTGCAGAGACTGACCTGGACTTTGAAAAGTTTTCCTGGGGCTTGGCGCAGACACACTTAATCATGACAGGCTGGTGACAGACATCCCCTCTAGTGCTGAGTTCAGAAGTCTCAAGCCTTAGGCTTTAGGTCCAGCAGGTGCCCACTGGCTCAGACCGCGGTGACCAGGTGGGAACAAGGCAGGCTTTCCCTGGCGTGGAGTGGACGACCGGCTGAGGAGAGGTGGCAGGGAGAAGTCGCGGCTCTCAGCAGGGTAGCGTTTGGAGCTGTGAGGATCACGCAGAGGACGGGGAAGGATGACAAGTGATGGGATGGCAGGTCCTCAGCAGGCTCTCCAGTGCACCCTTGTTTCCGCGGGCTGAATCCCTGCTCATCAGCATTTCAGCGTTAACTACCCCTGCTCTTTGTTGGATAAGGTGTAGCTCAGGATGAAGCCCAGTGCGCTTTGTGTTGATAAAGTGATGCTCAAAGTTTTGCCTGCAGATACACAGTGGTCACCTTAAAACACATCTGTGTCACTAGACTCAGGGCACAGTGACCCTTGGGGGGGCTTGGGGAGAGATCCCCATTGTTGGAATTGCCACTGGTTTAGGCCAAGTTCCATGCGAGCTTCTTAATGCCAGCCTATGCTTGAGCCTTATGGTCCTTGGGTACCGGACCCTTCTTCCCCCTGGAGCCCGGGGTCTGGTACCGGTGACTGGGTCACTGCTGTGCTCAACCCGGTTTCAGCCGATGTTCCTGGCAGGCCAAGGAGCTTGTAAACATTTGCCCAAAGACCACACGCCTGTTTCCCCTCAGCCATGTGTGTGGTTATTTCCCTGCAGGGAGGTGGCAAACATCGACAAAAAAGAAGCGGATAAGAAAAAGGCCTCCGCCTTCCTCCCACCTGCGCCCGGCTGCCGCCCCGAGGAGCCGCGGAGGAGACTCGGGAGCGTTTTCAAGGAAGACGAGTTTCTTTTAAGGTTTGTTCAAACGAAAACTGTGGGGAAAGTGCAGGAATTCTCAGTGAGGGAAAGAGCACATAAAAGTTCACTTTCTTTTATGTTTTATTCACTCAAGAGTGTTTTTTTTTTTTTTTTTTTTTAGTGGTAGTAGTGATGGTAAAGCTACCAATGGTTTTGCGTTTCTGTGTCGAGCACTGGCTGTTTACTTTATGAACTGCTTTCTTGTTCTTTTTTCCTGCACTGGGGGCGGAATCCAGGTGTGTTCTAGGACACCAGCCTTTTTACATTGAGACAGGACCTTGTTCAATTGCTGAGTCTGGCCTCAGACATGATCCTCCTGCCTCAGCCTCCTCAGTTGCTGGGGTGGCAGTGTGCACTGCTGTGCCTGGTTTTGTACTTTATGAACTGTGTGGATCAGAGCTCTTTGGTCACAAATGCCAGGAAGCCGGCTCCAAGCAGCCTACACAGCACATTCCCCTTGGTGCTCCGTCCTCGACTCTCTCTCTCGGCCTCCTCCCTCTGTGTGCTGACTTCTTTTTCAAGCTGCCTCTGACAGGCACCAGGCCCCTGGACCTCCTGACAGCGCCTGGCCCACAGTGAGGAGAGCCATCCTCTTGGCCTCACAGGCCAAGCCTCACTGAGGTCTGAGGCCCTGCACATCCCTTTGGAAAGCAGTGCTATAATTAGCCCGACCTGCTGTCCCTGTGACCCAGAGTGCAGTGCACAGTCAATGTCACAGGGTAGAATGGGTGACCAAGACAACTTGCCCATTTTATTTTACTTATAGCTCCTCAAAATGCTATTTGATGCTATCACCCCCATTTTACTGAATAGGACATTGAGGCCCAGAGAAGCCAAGAAAAACTTCAAGGAGGACCAGCATGCCAGGTTCCAAGGATACAAAGACATAAATAAGTTCAAGTCCTTGACCTCAAGGGCTCCCATTCTAGAAGGGGGCGCAAAGCTGTGAATAATTAACATGAGGTACAAATGCGAAAGTCCCAGGCAGTCCCAGGCAGCCCCAGGAAGTCCCAGGAAGTCCCAGGTCTTCTGCACAGAGTGGGCGGGGCGGATCTTTGCTCATCAGGGGGCAGTTTGAGGAGCTCGCCCCTGGGTGTGGCTGATGGAAGGACAGGAGGGAATGAAGGGCAGCACGAGGCGTCCTAGGCCACACCCTCTGGAGTCCCCCTGCCTGGAGCCCCTGGGCCGCCTTCCAAGAGCTCTATCAGGAGCAGCAGTCAGATCAACATTTTGTTTTTGTCAAATAAATACGTGCAGGTGGACTCTAAGAATCAAGCAATCCTGTCCAGCTTCTGAGGCCCAACAGCAGCCCCTGCCCTCCCCTTCCCGCCACCCTCCCCACCGTGACTTCCACCCCCTTGGCCGCTTTTCTGGGATTCACCTCTGTTGTCTAAATAACATGCTTACACATGTAGTTTGTGTTTCCTTTGTCATTTTAGGCCTTATCTCTAGATATTTTTTGTATTGCTAAAAGCTATCAAAAGCCAAGCAAGGTTATTTTCCATATTCTCAAACGCATCCTGTATGCCACAGGTTTGTTCCTTGATTCAGCTGGTCCCACAGTTGTCTCTCAGGTCCTGACCTCCTCCAGGCGGCCTGTGGCTGCAGGTGAACTCCAGCCCACCACTGGGGACTTTTCTCTCCCTCACCTGCCACTCCCCCTCACCCCCATCAATTTGACCTGTTGGCGTCACTGTTTTCAGGCCCCATGTCTGTCTAGTAGCTCCTGAAGAAAAAGTGTGCCATTTTCCCAGTCTCTCAAGTCCAATGTGTGTTTTTTCCTTAATTAATAATTGTTAACGGGCTGGGGTGGTGACTCAGCTGTAGAGCGCTCGCCTGGCACGCATGAGACCCTGGGCCGGATCCTCAGCACCACATAAAAATAAATAAAGGAATTGTGTCCAACTATGACTAAATAAAAAAATAAAATAAAATATTAAAAAATAATTGTTAACTATTTTGCTGGGAATAAAATTCTAAAATACAAATCTACTTGCCACAGAATTTTGACCTTTCTTCCCACCTCCTACTTGTGCTCTTGGGAAGTCTGACGCCATTCTGATTCCTATGGATTTTATGTCACCTCCCCACCCCCGAGGGAGCTCTGAGGATGTGTCTCTATCCCTAGCAGGTGAGGTTCCACAGTGACCAGACCTGGCACGAACCTCTTCCTTGGTGTTCCAGTGGGGTTCTGGAAGGTTGTGTCCTTCAAGTCTGTGAAATTTTCTTTTATCATTTCTTTGATAGTGTCCTTCCCTTCATTTTCCTAGTTCTGTTTTTCTGGAACTAAGCAGGACTCATGAAATGGGTTCGGAAGTACTTCTCTTCTATTTTTTGAAAATTGGTGTTAATTCGTCTCTGGTAGAATCCACCAGTGAAGTCACATGATCCTGGACTTTTCTTTTTTGGAAGGTTTTGTTACCGGTTCAATCCTCTTTCTTATAACTCTATACAGAATTTTTATTTTTTTCTTGAGTCACTTTTGGAAGTTTGTATGTTTCTGGGAATTTTTCATTTCATTTGAGTGTACTTATTAACATTCATATTCTCCTATAAACTGATTTATTTTTGTAAGATCAGAGTAATGTTCCTCTTTTTATTTCTGAATTTTCTAATTCCTTCACCTCCTCCTCCTTTTTTGTAGTCAGTTGAACCAAAGGTTTGTTAATTCTGTTGGTCTTTGAAAATAACTAGCATTTTGTTTAATCAACCCTATTTTTTGAGGGGGGTACTTGGGATTGGACTCAGGGGCACTGGACCACTGAGCCACATCCCCAGCCCTGTTGTGTATTTTATTTAGAGACAGGGTCTCACTGAGTTGCTTGAGCTCACAATCCTCCTGCCTCAGCCTCCTGAGCCCCTGGGATCACAGGCATGCACCACATAGTACAATACATACTATTTTTTTAATTCTCTATTCACCTTCTTGGCACTACTCTTTATCAGCTCCTTCCTTCTGGTAGCTTTGGGTTTGGTTTACTCTTCTTTTCTAGTCCTTGAATGAAGTTGTTGTTGAGATCTCTCTATTTCACAAAATGTGGCTATGAATTTCCCTCCAACTCTTCCCTCCAACTTGACCATCCTTCAGCCATTTCTTCACCTGGTCCTCAAACCAGCTGAGCCACCAGCACTGTTTTTGCTTCAGGCCATAAATTTTGTTGTGTTGTGTTGTTTTCAACTCAAAATACTTTTAAATTTGTTTTGTGATTTCTCTTTTGAGTCTCAGCATGTTCTGTAGAAAGGAGGGCAGTGAGCCCAGTAAGAAGAGCGGTGCTTTTGTCAACTACTAAAGGCAGGCCTTCAGGGCTCCTGGGGACAGTCCCCATCCTGTAGCCCAGCAAGTAACATTCTGAAGATCCACACCTGGAGCTGCAGGGTGGATGCAGAGCGGCAGCAAGCAGTACAGGTTTTCAGCTGCACCAGCGCATGTCACCGACAACAGGTGCAGGACCCGCCCCTGGCTGTGGCTGGGGCAGCTTTCCCATCCCCTCAGAGAGGTGCCTCCTGCCCATTCAGTCAGTCTCTGTCACTGCCTCCGTCCCTGGGACCCTCCTTAGAGATACCAGGTAACATCACCACTTCGTTCCAGTGGCCAGCAGTCAGTCACGTGGTGATAGCTGCAAGAGAGGCTGGAAAAGTAGGGTTTTTGTTTTAGGGTTTTTTTTTTCCAGCTTAAAAAAAAATCTGGACCCATTGCCATCTCAAAAACTGCCTTGTTTGCTAAAAAAAAGAGGGAGAGTGAGCTGGTGCACACCTGATTCCAGTTACTTTGGGAGGCCCAGGCAGGAGGATCACAAATTCTAGGCCAGTCTGTGCAACTTAGTAAGACTATGTCTCAAAGTAAAGTTTAAAAAGGGGCTGGGGATGTGGCTCAGTGGTTGAGCACCTCTGGTTCAATCTGTAGTACCATAAAACAGAAGAGAAAAGAAAGAGAAAGGGAAGTCTGGCCAGTGGGTTGGTAACCATCTCCGTCACCAGTAGATGGTATTATACTGTCCGTTTTTGAGATGAAGAATCAAAACTTAACAGAGTTAAAAATCTTGCCCATGGAAACCTTCTAATCCTAAACCTTCCATTTTTTTTTCCTCTGAACTGAGCAAAGACCACAATTTTTTCTTTATTAGAGTAGGTTAACTTGAGTCAAGGAATCTTACAGGGTTGCCAGTGGATCATTAAAAACAGATCTTCTGGGACTGGGGACATATCTCAGTAGGTAGGGTGCTTACCTTGCATGCACAAGGCCCTGGGTTCAACCTCCAGCAGCACACACACACACACACAAACAGACTTTCTATTATCCCTTTTAGATTCTCGGAAACAGAAAAATCAACTAATTCACCAATATTATTGCTCTTCCCTCCAACTTGACCATCCTTCAGCCATTTCTTCACCTGGCCCTCAAACCAGCTGAGCCACCCCCTCCTCCGGGAAGTTCCCTGACCACCCACTCGGTGGCCCATTATATCCCCTGTGCTCTCCTGAAATGTTCTGCTCTAGTCATAGATTTGCTCTCCCACCTCTTGTGGGATTGTCATTAAGGTCAGGAACCTCGTCCTGGATGCCCCTGTCTCTCCAGGGCCTAGGCCAGGGCCTGGCACTCCCAGAAGCAGGATGAGGGGCACTGGGCATTGCTCAGAGCCACCATCATTGACAGATCTGCAAACTTTTTCTCTCAACACTATCAAGATTCCAGCGAACCCTTTGGAGAAGTCACAGTGAATTTCTTAACCAGTTTTTGTCAATGTCTTATTTTCCCACAGGAGGGAAAGAGAAGAGAAGCTGAAGTTTAACCACTCTCCTCTCTTATTTCCGAGTCCTGAGGACCCGTATCCCCTGGAAGTAGGACATCCCTACAGTGCCCAAGATATTTCTGCTAACAGGTGGGTTGGAGCGTGAGGAAGAAGACTCTGCCCAAAGACTGAGAAATGGAAATCCCTGCCCTCCACATTGTAGTTTTTCCTGGGCCAAGAGGAGAGCAAAAGGGGGCATTGGATGCACGGGGCACCGCGTTTATTCAAATATTCACTTTCACTCATTATTTTATTTAAAATGTTACATGTGACAGTGTCCCTCAGAGGGCGCCAGGCTGGGTGTAGCTCAGGGGTAGAGCGCTTGCCCAGCCCGCCCGGCCTGGGAGTCCCTGGGTTCAACCTCCAGATGAAAACAGCCCCACAGGGTGTGATGACCCCAGCTCCTTTATCATTTTCCAAGCCGGCAGCCTGGTGCGGACACACCTGTGTGGAGGTGGACCTCTCCTGAGGCAGGTGGCTTCTGAGGCCCTTCCCGCAGCACAAACCCAGGCCGAGAGGGGTCCTGCAGGTTCCCTGCTGTAGACAGTGGGGACTAGGGAGCGGTTAAGGTCATCCTGCTCCCCAGGGGCTGGTGGCGGGAAGGCAGGTGTATCAACAAGTGAAAGGCCAAGGACCCAGGCAGGGAGGCAGCGGTGGGCAGCCGGGAACAGAGCAGAGGCCCAGGAGCCAAGCAGAAGCCATTGAAGGGGTGATGTCTAGGACACAGGGAAGGTGTGGGTGGGGCTGAAGGAGAGCCTGAGGGAAGGGGGCGGGCAGAGCAGGGCAGGGGGCAGCTGGGAGGAGGCCAGCTACTGTGTGAGGAACTGCCAGGGGCATGGCCATGAGGGTTTCCAAGCGTGGGGAGCCTCTGGAAGGAGACAAGTGGGAATCTTGTGGTCAGATTTAGCTTTTTGTTGTTACTGGGGATTGAACCCAGGGGCATTTAACCACTGAGCCACATGCCCAGCCCCATTATTATTATTATTATTATTATTATTATTATTATTATTTTGAGACAGAGTTTCACTGAATTGCTTAGGGCCTCACGAACTTGCTGAAGCTGGCTTTGAACTCACGATCCTCCCATCTCAGTCTCCTGAGTCCCTGGGACAAGTCTGGCTTTTGGAAAGTCCTGAAGGTAACTGGGCATGGTGGTGCACACCTATGATCCCAGCCCCTCAGGAGGCTGAGGCAGGAAGGTTGCTAGCCTCAGTAATTTAACAAAGCCCTAAGCAACTTGCCAAGACCTTGTCTCTAAACAATTTTAAATGCTGGGGATGTGGCCCAGTGGTTAAGTGTCTCTGGGTTCAGTCCCTGGAACTCTCCCCTCTCCCCGCCAAAAAAAGGATGCTGAAGGGGGGAGTTCATATGTATGTTTTGGGAACTTGTAAAATCTCCCACAATATTTACCTTCACGGGTGGGATACCTGGTCTGTGTCTCTCAGTCAGGAATACTCAGGCTTTCTTGCTCTTGTGTCCCTCAGTCCCTAAATATATTAATTATTAAGAGAGCGTATACCGGGGTTGGGACGGTAGTTTAGTGGTAGAGCACTTGCCTAGCACCTATGAGGTACTTAGCACCACATAAAAAAATAAACACACAAAGGTAGTGTCCATTATAAAAAAATTTTAACAGAGAGCATATACAATTATTTCTGTACTAATACACTGTGTATGCTATAAAACATACAGAAATTTAGAAAATTAAAAGGGTGATTTAAAAATAGGCAAGGAAAAGGGTCAGTTTCTTCCCCCAACAACTCAATGGCTACACCTTGTGGGTGGAGCGGCTGCTCTGCCTGAGCCCCAGTTAAAACAAGCAGGGAAAGGGCTTCCTTTTGGATTCTCCCACAGAAAAAGGTGGAGCTGAGGAAGCTTTGACTCTAAAAGGTTCTAAGGCTTGACTCCTGCCCCACCCTTTATTTGCCCCATGACTTGAGGACAAATTTTCAGTTTTTTGTTAGGACTTGTTTCCTGTGGATAGAGTCTCACCTAGGCCTGGCAATGACAAGCATTACATGACTGTTTTTATTTTCAAAGTCTTTGCAAAGCCTCTTATATCCCTTCTTCCAGGAATCCCTGGGTGTGTGGTTGAGGGCCCCGCCCAGAACTCTGATTCTCTGGGACCAGGAACTAGCGCCTCCTCTGCTCCTGGGGCACAGCTTGCTGCCAACGCAGTGCTGGGCCCAGAAAGGTGAAGCGTCAGAAGACGCACAAACTCTCACCCACAGGGAAGAGCCCTCCACGCGTCTCGGGCTTAACATTTAGACAAGGCACAGAATGGATCCAAAAATGTTCCTCTGGACCCCTTCCAGAAGTCACTGAGGCCTGGTGACCAGACCTTTTGTAGGAAGTTAGAGTCCAGCGTCTGCTCCTCGCACAGTGAATACTGGGGGGAAACTGAAGGGAAGCGACCCTTGCCCTGAGCTGCTGAACTCCCAGAAGGGGCCTGGGAGGCGAGTCTGTCTTCTCCTCTCCGCGTCTCAGGGGATCTGGTCCAGACCCAGGCTCCTCATAGGTCTCCCAGGGTCCAAAGAGGTCCTCCCAAAATGCCCATCCCAGCCTGGGCAGTACACGCTGCAGCCCCAGCCACTGGGAGGTTGAGGCAGGAGGATCGCTGGAGCCCAATTCAGAGCCAGACCCCAAGACCCTTCTCTCAAAAGCAAGGAAACAAAAACAAACCAAAATCCATATCTAATACCTCTACTCCTCTACTTAAAACCCAGTCTGTCCCCATTCCTCTCAGGACCCTAATGACAAAATCCACACTCTTCCTGAGGGGGCCCCTGCCCTCCTCTCCTTCCTCGCCTCAGCTGTCTCTGCCCAGGGCCTCTGGGCCTGCAGCTCCTGCTGCTTCAGAGAGTGCTGAGGTCTCCCCCCAGGTGACCGTCCCTGACAGGTGCCGGACCTCCTCTGAGCTCCCAGGAGTCCTTGCTCCTTCCCCTCCCTTGACTGACTCCTTCCCAATGCTGGAAGCCCAGCTCAGGCAACACCTCCTCCAGGAAGCCCATCCAGACGCCTGTTCTGTGCTCTGCATTTCCTGCACTTGCCCCACAGAGTATATCTGACTGCAGTTGTGGAGTTGTCTGTCCCCTCTCTGTATAGTGAGTCTCTCAACCTCTGGGACTTGGTCTCATCCCAGGTCAAGTCCCCGATGCCCACTTCTGTGGCTGGCACCCAGAAGGGATCCAGGAATTCTTAGTGAAGAAATTATCAGTCGCTGTGTGCTTAGCCTTCCACCTCCTTTAATTGCTTATAGAAAAAAAAATAATGTTACATTTTAGAATGTTGCCTCTCTGTACTTACATGTGAAGTTAGGAATAAATCCTCTTAAAAGATCACACTGATTTTTAAATTTTTAAAGTTCATTTTTAAAAATATTTTTATTAGTTGGTGGACCGTTAATTTATTTATTTATATGCAGTGCTGAGTATCCAACCCAGTGCCTCACACATGCTAGGCAAGTGCTGGTCCACTGAGCCATACCCCAACCCTCATTCTGGCTTTTTAATCCATTTGTCTGTCTTTATATTCCTCTACAGAGAGGCAGAAATCCCCAAGAGGTCAAAAACAGTGCAGAAAAATGAACTAGTCATCCTCAGCCTCTCTCCTTACAGTTCAAGGGAATCGAGCCTAAGAATGGAGAAAATCTTTACGGGTGAAGGCTGCTGAATTCCGTCTAGACAAGAAACGGCGAAACAGAAACTAGTACTGTGATTTGGGACACGTCAATCATTCCCAATCCACCAAAGAATAACATTAAAGTTCACTCCTACTGTGGGCTGACGTCAGGATTTAAGTGGAAGTTAATTCACCTCCTTCATTTAGACGTGTATTTACTACTGCTTTCATTTATCTATGTTTTAATCATAGTTGAAGGAACAGGTGTTATCACATAACAGGAAGAGTAAGTGAGCACCGCCCCCTGCCCAGTGCTCTGTAAACATTCTCTCAGTCTCCCCTCCTGGCAGCACTCCTAGGAGGGTGCTGCGACCTCTCCCCCCCTCCCAGGAGGAACCGGGGCTTGGAGGGCTTGAGGCAGTGCGCTAAGTGTCTGTCCTGTGCCCTCCCTGCACTGGGCCCTGGGAATACTGAGGAAGAGAGGCGCAGTCCAGCTGCAGAGTGCTGCCAATCAGGAGGAGGACGAAGGATGTGAAAGCCAATAAATACATAATGCTTTCAGAGAGAGAAAAATAAAGATAAAATAGGATGGGAGGCAGGGAAAGAGGGGAGAAGTACTAGGGAATGACAGTGGCCAAATTATATTGTGTGCGCTTAACGAATATGTAACACCAAATCCCATCGTTGGGCACAACTATAATGCACCAACAAAAATGTGTAGGGGAAAAAAGAAAAAGCTCTTGCCTAAAAAATGGGGCTCAAAAGGGAAGGGATAAGCACAGCCTAATTCCCCCTTAAGATTGGGAGCCATCTCGCCACAAAGGCATAAAAAGCTAATTTCAGCTTTACTATAAATTACTGCGATTTCTGCACTTGCTCGGAATGCCTGCCCGGGCCTTGGACTCACCCGTGCCTGGCTCTCCCTGACCAGATAGCAACCCTCTCCGAAACTCTAATGACCCCATAAATTTTGATGTCAGAGACAGCTAAAATATCAACTAGCCTTTGTGCTATGCTTGTCAAAATTTTGTTATCTGTAAGTTCTCAAACCCCCTGTGTGTAACTTTCTGGGGTATAAAGCTGTGCTCCTGGAGGGCTGCAGGGCTGTCTTCTGTTCCCGTGGTTTTCAGGAGAGGCAGCCCGGCCGGTCGGAATACAAGCTTGCTTTAATTTGATTTCAGTTGGAGTCGGTGGTCTTTTCTTTGCATCGTGGTCTAACAGAGGATGGAAGGGATTACAGAGAGATCTAGGGGAACTTGGGGTGAGGGAGACGCCCCATCACAGTGAAGGCTCTTGGACTTATATACCCCGTGTACTTTAAGTGCTTTCTCATATATAAATTATACTTCAATAACGATGTTGTTTTCCTGTCTCCCTCTCGTACACACCGTAGTTCCCAAGTCTCTCCATTGAAATGGCCTAGAAATAAAGAGTGAGCCAGCTGTAGTGACCCGGCCTGTCGTCTTGTAAAACCATCCACACTCAAAGGATCCCAAGATCCTTGAGGGAATGATGGCTCCTCATCCAGGACAGGAGGGTCATGGGATGAACCTGGAAGTCTTACCACACTGGACTCTGACAAAGACTCCTGTCAGAAATCTGCAGGAGCCATTTTAAAGAGGGTCCCATGTGCTAAATGGTGGCACCATTTAGGCACTAGTATTACTACGACTAGCCATAGACTGAAGTACATCAAACATGTTTCACAAAGTTTATGTTGTTGCCTTAAAGAAACTAATATAGGTCACCATTGAAGGATATTAGGAAATCAAATTGTTATTTTGAAAACTGGTAACTACAGGGAACGTGTGAGCATTTATCATGCCAGTACCACATAAACCACGTCACCAGGTAACCAGAGAGAGGGCGAGGGAAAGTTTTCTCTTTAGAAACATTCCAGTTAATAAATTGAGAAAGAATGATAGAAGTAAAATATCATCATTTTGTAACCTACTGGGTTAATGGATCTAGGCTGGTCGTTAATGGCTGCTAATATCCCCAAAAAATAAGCAGCTACCGAGCGCCTCCTGCTGGTAGACCCAGGACCACCTTGATCTGACCTGGACTCCAGATCCAGAAGGAAGTATAGAGGACAGAAGTGCAAATCTGCAAAGCTGGGTTGTAGAAAACTCCAGGGGAGGTGACTCCCTTCTTTTTAACAAACTTCCAGAGAAAATAGAGGATATATAGACTAAAAGAGGTTTAAGGGCTGTGGATATTGCTCAGTGTAGAATGCTTGCCTAGCATGGATGTGGTCTTGGGTCAATCCTCAGTATAAAATAATAATAATAATAATAATAATATTTAAAAGGCAATCAGGCATGGTGGGATGTACCCCTATAATTTTAGCTGCCCTTATAATCTTAGTGACTTGGGAGCCTCAGGCAAGGAACCCAAGTTCAAGGCCAGCCTGAGCAATTTAGGGCTCAAAGTATTGCTCAGGGATCCTGGGTTCAATCTCCAGAGCCACTAAACAAACAAACATCAGTCCATTGTAATTTGTGGCCATTATCTAGATCTTGGTTGGGAAAATCTTTTGAAAATATATGATACTTCTGAGACAATTGGATATTTGAGCGCTGCCTGGGCATCTGATATTAAAAATTATTAACTTTTAAGTGTGATAATGGTATTCTGATTGTGTTTTTAAAAAGAGTCCTTCTCTTTTAGAGATACAAACTGAGATACTTACAGAGGAAATGAGATGAAGTATGGGATTCACATCCAGATAATATGGGAGGAAGAGAACGGAGGCATCAGGTGAAATAAGATTGAGCCTAGAAATTGTTGCAGTTGACTGACGGGGTTATCTATTCTCTTACTTTTGTATATATTTGAAATGATCCATAATTTTTAAAATGAGAGGCATTTATGAGAGAGACGTCTATGCCTATTTGAGGCCTTATTTCATTATTTCATTGCCTTTCCACTACAGCCCTGTGAGTGAAGTACAGTTTTCCCTGTAGTCCGTGGCTGAAGCCACCCTGGCTTTGACTTTCACAGTATCCTCTTATTACTCTCCTGCTCCCTGTGCCCCCCCAGCCCATTCTCCACACAGCAGCCCAAATGCTTTGACTCCCATGACAACTCAACTCTAGGTTTCTCTTGCTTTTCAGAGGAGGAAATGAGGCACACAGCGATTAGATCATTTTCCCAGAGCTCACAGTTAGTAAATGGCTGGAGGGCTGGGGTGGGGAGCTCAGTAGGAGCGAGCTTGCTGAGCAGGAGGCCCTGGGCTCGATTTCCAGTGCAGCAAGAAGAATCATGCAAACAGGTGAGGTTGCTGTCACTCTGGCTTGGGGGCCTTTCGCATGTGCACATTGCTATAAACAGAAAATAAAATCACATGTGAAGACACAGAGCCCATTGTTGAGTGGCTCAGAGAGCAGACATGGAGCCAAACCCTGAGCCTGGGTCACTCTGTGCCTGAGTTCCACCATGTGTAAAGGAGGAGTAAAAATAGTCCCCACCCATGGTGTCTTTGTGAGGAGTGGGTCACTCAGATGCGCAGAGCTGTGCCGACACCTGGCAGTGCTCTTTGTTGTCATCGTCACCAGGTGTGTGGGGAGTGAACAATGCCAGTAACATACACCAAAACATCTGTGTCAGAATTACCTGAATAACAAAAAATTCACAGGCTACACTTCTTTCAGCAGTGGCAGGTCACCAAGTACTCATGGGTCACATGGGAGTCATAAGCACAGCAATCACAAGTTCTTTCATTCCAATCATAATGACATATGACATAATTCCAATCATAAAAACATTCAAGTCACACATCATTCTCCTCTCTCTCTCTCTCTCTCACACATACACACACACACACACACACACACACACACACACACACACACACACCACAGAGGGTTACGGCACTGTGGGCTCAGGGGGTTGAACTGAGAGCCAAGGCAGAGAGCCTGGCCTTGCAGAGTCACTGTAGGTGGTCAGAGCTGCAAAGTGCAGAACTTGTTCTAGGCCAGAGTCTGACAGGCTGAGGTCTCAGAGTGTCAGCTTGGAGTGTCAGCTTGACACCTTGGTTTGGAGTAGGCCATTCGTGGTCTTTGTGGACGTGAGAAACCATGCTGTGCTGAGGCCAGGAGGGACAGAACCAGAGGTTTGTTGCTATGGTGACTTTCCTGAACAAGGCTAGTGATGAGTGACCAGCGATGGGGTTCGAGTGCCATCGTGTCCAGTATCGCGATGGTGCTCCTCCTCTTACGGCCCTTGAGCGAGGGGGTTGCTTCATGCAGGGCTCTGGTGTGTTTGATAAGCTCCTGGGCCTGATGTTTCCAATGTGGAGTTGATATACCCGTGCATCCATGTGCTTCTGATTAAGTTAATAAGTTCACAGGTGGTTATTTTTATTAGCATGATTAATTTATCAGCTTCTGCTTTATGGTTGTGCTAGGTAGATGGTGGTTGTTTACTTACACAAACGAGGTACAGCGTGGTTTCTACCTTGGCACTAGTACTCAAAATGGAGTAACTCATGGCAAACTACTGTTTTATGAAAATGGAGTAACTCACCGGGCATGGTGGTGGCTCAGAGGATGAGGATTAAGAGTTCAAAGCCAGCCTCAGCAACTTAGCAAGGCAATAAGCAACTCAGTGAGACCCTGTTTGTAAATAAAGTATAAAAATAACTGGGGATGTGGCTCAGAGGTTAAGCGCCCCTGGGTTCAATTCCTGGCACCAAAAAAAAAAAGTAACTCAGGGTTAG